CGCCAGAAGGAGGCGGTTCGCCCGGCGGGGTGCTCAGAGGAGGAGCCTGCGAGTAGAGAGGGTGTAATAAGGTGGGAAGCAGGACAGGACGCGATTCACCTGCGGATACAACTGGCTGAGGGGTGGGCGCGGCCCGCAGAGCAGACACAGCTCCAGGCCCGGCAGCAGCGTCAGGGTCAGGAGCCGGTGTGGGACCTGAGGCAGGGCACGGGGTGACCGCGGCTCTGCCCCTTCCCATCGCAAATCCCACCTCCTCGCCACCCGGCCTGTAGATCGATCCCACCCTCGCATACTGGTCCCAGGCGGGCCCCACCCACTCACCGTGGGACTCCCGTGCGGCAGGTACACCGGGTAGTCGCGGGCGGTCTGCGGCAGCAGGGACCCCACAAGCCAGGGGAGCAGCACGGCCTCGGGCGTCCCCAGCCGCCACCAGCCCTCTGTGGCTGCCACTACGCGACCCGACACCAGCAGACTGACGAAGGCCGTGCCCGCGGCCTCAGCGAACCCGGAGAGGGCTTCCTGGGCAGGGGAGGCAGGCCGACTGGGAGTCAGGAGACACGAGCCAAGGGCGGCAATGGCTTCCCAGGTGGCCAAAGTGTGGGAAGAGACCGACGGACAGGTGGGAATCAGACTGGAAGCTGGGAGGACAGGAGGTTGGGACAGTGGTCCAGGGGAAGTAGGGCGAAGACTGAGCCTGAGCCAGAGCCTGAGCCGGAGCTAGTGGAACAGACTTACGATCGAAGTTTCCACAGCATCCCCAATACCTGCAGGACGGACCCATCTGGAGGAATTACGCAGTCCACACACTGGGTCAGGTCCCCGATGAGCTCTGAGTCTCCTAGGAAGCTGTCGATGAGGCCGTAGCTGGCCTAGTGGAGGAAGAAGGGTCAAGCCTACGACCCAGGTAGGCCCCAGACCTGCTGCCTCCCCCACAGAAAACCGGCAATGCTGGGCCTATCTCCAAGTTGCCCCTAGAACTCATTGGGTCAGGTTGCCTGTAGGGGCTTCTGGGAACTGTGGTTCCCCAATGGCAGGGCCCAAGCATCCTAACTTCCCATCCTCATGTCCCACAGCCTCACCCTCAACTCCTTCTTCAGTCTCTCTACATTGCGGATGTTGGTCAATTCTTCAAGACCCACAAGAAGAACCTAGAAGAAGCACATAGAAGAGTAAGGGCCCTGGACAGCTAGTTCTAAGAGAAAAGGAGCTGGGACCTGAACTCCTGGGTCTGAAGAAAGAGGGGGCTGGTGCCCCGGCTCCCAGGTGTGAGAGACTGGAGGTCTTGGCAACTGGGACTGAGGACCAGGATTCCTGGGTTGAGGGAGGGGGTGCTGGGGCCTGGACTCCTAGGTCTGAGAGAGAAGGATGCTGAGAGCTCAGATTCCGGGGTTTGGGAGAAAAGAGGACTGAGGCGTCTCACCATGGCCCCAAACACCATCTGAAGTAGTCTCTCCAGCCTCAGCTCGGAATTGCCCTCCTCAGATGACAGAACAATGAGGGTGATGCTATGGGAATGGAGTGTGAGAAGGAAGAATGAGCCCAGGCCTTGGAAACGGAATGGGGTACAGTCAAGTCCGCCCGTTGATCCTAAAATGTAGTTCCATTAATTTATGTCCACCCTCAGCCCAACCTGTCACTCTTACAGAGAAAACCAGGCATCAGAGTGAGGAACTGGTTTGTCAGAGATCTCACAGCCGAATAAACCGTTGGCCTTAGATAGCTGAAAGACCTCTGAGGTCATCTTTAACAGGACCTACCGCCCTGGCCCTGGCCCTGGCCCTGGCCCCGGCCCGTCCCAAGCTCCCGCCTGGGGACCTGTCATGGAAGCTTTTCCACACAATGGTCGTGTCTTCTGTCCTCGCAGAGCTCAACTGCACCTCCAGATTCTGCCCGAACATGTGAACTCCATTGAGGGAACCGATGACAGAGAACGGGAGCTAGGGAGGCAGGCATTTAGGGGCATTAGGTAGGAGCCCCACCCCTTCTCAGAACCCAAGCTTCTGAGCTCCAGCCCCCCTCCTCTTTCCATATGCCCAGGCAGTTCTTCCTTGGGAAACCAGACTTATTGATCCCTTGCCCCATCGGTCCTTTAAATTCAACACTGAAACCTCCCAGCAGCCCCTCTCTTGAAAACCTGGAGTCAAGACGCCTAAACCCCTTCTATTTAGATCCAGCATCCAAGGCCCCACCTGCTGACGGGCGGCGGCGCCGCCGCGGCTGCTCCTGCAAAACAGGGGGACTCCGCTGGAGGCCGCGAGGCACAGCAGATGCACGGTGCCCCTTGTCCCTTCCTCCCCCATTTGGAAAACACCCCGCAGACCCCCACGTGGGGACGGTCAGTGAGGATTTTGGAGCATGCCAGTAATCACAGTTAGATGGGCCTTCCGTCCGGAGCCGCCAGAGGGCGAGATGTGGAGTTGATTGGAAGAGGATTAAATTCCCGCCTTCAACATCTAACGCAAACAGACCCTCTATCCCTATTCCGTCACCTCCCCTAAACCCCGCTAGGTTCTCTTCCGCCCCAGCCGGAAGTCTCTACACCCCTAACAAAGATGGCGGGTAATTGTACTTGTAAGGTTTTGTAGTTTCTCCCTGGATTGGTTTGACTCCATTTATTTCAAGAGAACGAAGAAACCGACCTGAAGATGCTGGCGATGTCAAGGCGTTGCCTAGCAACCATCCTGTAGGCTCTGATGATTTACATGTAAATGGAAAAAAAACAGCTGTGCCACGATCAAAGATGGCGACTGTACCAAGATGTTGCCTAGCAACCACATTCGGTCTAGATTTTTCATTTTATAGCGGTAAACACTGTGCCCTCCTCAAAGATGGCGACGGTGCCAAGGAGTTACCTAGCAACCACCATTTAGTCTGATTTTCATTCTGAGGTTGTAAACAGCTATGCCCTGATCAAAGATGGCCGCATGTCGAGCCTGAGCACCCTCCTCAGAGCGAAATCGAGAAAAACACCACCTCCTCCCCCCCACCTTCGAGGATGGTTTGGTCCGGTGAGCGTTGCCTAGTAACCACCAAAAGAGAGGATTGTTTTTGTTATTAGAAAAAGAGGAAATCCTACATTTTCCAGAACAAAAAAATAACGTTTTCGTAGTGAATTTATACATGATAGAATACCATATATGATGTGTAAATACTCGTTTCCCAATTTTTTTTCCTAAAATACAGCTTAACAACAGACTATATGTTTTCATAAGTATAGTCATTGTACTAATGTTTTCATACTTTCCTTTTCTTTTTTTTTTTTGAGTTGGAGTCTCACTCGGTCGCCCAGACTGGAGTGCAGTGGCCGCTCCCGGCCACCGCAGCCTCGACCTGCTGGGCTCCGGCGATCCTTCCGCCTCAAGTAGCCTGAATTACAGGCGTGTGCTACCACGCCCGGCTGATTTTTTGACTCATTGTAGAGATGAGGTCTCGCTGCCCAGGCGGGTCTCGAACCCGCGGGCTTAGGCAATCCACTCACCTCAGCCTCCCAAAGGCGCTGGATTACAGGCTGAACCACCGAGCCCGGCTACTTTCCTTTTCTTATAAAAGGTATAAATATACTTGATCTTAATGTATCTTTATAATCGATTAATTATGTATATTCTGGATTTGATTCCCAATAGCTGATACAAAAAATTTAAGACGTTTCCCCTGCACGTCAAATTAATGAAACTTCTAGAGGAACAAATACATACATAAAATAATTTTTAAAATAAAATAGCAGCCGGGCTCAGTGGCTCAGTCTGTAATCCCGCACCTTGGGGAGGCTGAGGTGAGTGGATTGCCTGAGCCCGCGGGGGCAGCAAGACCTCATCTCTACAATAAATCAAAAAATTAGCCAGGCATGGTAGCATGTGCCTGTAGTTCCAGCTACTTGGAAGGCTGAGGTGGAAGGATCACTTGAGCCCAGCAGGTCAAGGCTGTGTGGCCGGTGAACATGTCACTGCACTCCAGTCTGGGCGACAGAGTGAGACTCCGACTCAAAAAAGTAAATAAATAAATAAAATAAGATAGCAATTTCTCCCTGTAGTTCCATTAATGTATTCTATTTGCTGTTTTGAGCTGGGGTCTCACTCCGCCCACAGGTTGGAGTGCAGTAGCATAATCACTGTTCACCACAGCCTCGCTCTCCTTGGCTCAGGCGATCCTTCCACCTCAGCCTCTAGAGTAACTGGGACTATGGGTGCCACCACCATGCCTGGCTGTATTTTTGATATTTTGTAGAGACGAGGTCTTACTATGTTGCCCAGACTGGTCTCAAACTCCTGGGCTCAAGGGATTCTCTTGCCACAGCCTCCCAAGTGCTGGGATTACAGGCATGAACCACTGCACCTTGTTGTGACTTTTAACTCGTGATATTCAAAGTGACATGAGGTCACTTCTGATATTAGGTTATGAGGACTGTAACTTCCATCTGGCTTATATTCTTTCTCCGGTTTACTCCAGTGCAGCAAGCTGCCATGCTGTGACCTGCCAAAGGAGAGGCTCATGAAACTAAATGTGGCCTCTGGTCAACAGCCTGTGAACTGATTCCTAACAACTATGTGAGTGAACATGGAAGCAGATTGCTCTCTCACTGAGCCTTGAGGTGATTACAACCCTGGCCAACACTTCAATTACAGTCTCTGATGCTCAGGACCAGCTAAATCATGACTGATTCCTTGTCTGCGGAAACTATGAAACAAGCCGGGCGCGGTGGCTCACGCCTGTAATCCCAGCAGTTTGGGAGGCCAAGGCGGGAAGATTGCCTGAGCCCAGAGGTTCGAGACCAGCCTGGGCAACTTGGTGAGACCTCACCTCTACAATAAATCACAAAAAACTAACTGGGTGTGGTGGTGTGTGTCTGTAGTTCCAGCTACTTGGAAGGCTGAGGCAGAAGGATTGCCTAAAGCCAGCGGGTCTAGGCTGTGGTGTCTATAAGAATGCCACTGCACTCCAGCCTGGGTGACAAGAGTGAGACTCCCACCCAAAAAAATAAAAAAATAATTTAAAAATAAATAAAAAGAAAAGAAACTGTGAAACAATCAATCAAATATGATTGTTTTAAGCACCAAGTACGGGGATAATTTGTTACACAGCACAAGATAACTTAGTATCCTTTATTTTTCCCACTATTTTGTACTTCATGAACCTGACAATTCTACTACCTGGAGGCCTTTAGGACTATCTATTGTTGTTTCTATGAATTCTCATTTATAGTCATTCTTTCTGTGCTGGTGGGCTTTGATTGTGTACTCCTTACTTGATTATTATTATTATTATTATTATTTTTTGAGTTGGAGTCTCACTCGGTCGCCCAGACTGGAGTGCAGTGGTTGCTCCTGGTCACTGCAGCCTCGACCTGCTGGGCTCCAGCGATCCTTCCACCTCAGCCTTCCGAGTAGCCGGAATTACAGGCATGCACTACCACGCCCA